TTAGCAAAGTGACACTCGTCAAGGATTAAGTGATGCACTCCTATCAGGATCATAATAGTATGGCTTGTGCAGGATGTGTACATGCATCTGAGACTGATATACACCAATGCTGTCAAGGCATGCACCTAGGCACATCTACACCTTGTGTGTTAAGGCTAGAAGACAGAAGCGCCTCAAAACCTTTCAAGTGAGGCACATTTGATTGGTAAATACCTTTACAAGTAAGAGGGGGAGGCGGGTAGTATCGAACTCTCTTCTCAATATTTGAGAATCTAGCAACATATATGATAACATAAGAAAATCATACTTATTGGCCAACACAAACAATGGCATGTTTAAAAAAAGATCCACTAACTTATACAGTGTGAAATTTTTACCTGATCCAAACAGAACATAAAATCCAGATGTCACATCTATCTCTGATTGCTCCTCCCTGTCATATGACACCAACACAACCATATCACAATTTATGACAAGTAGTGGAAGCTTATGTGCATCTTATTACAAATAGGTATTATTGAAGTTAACGTTACATTTTGGATATTTAGTTATTTTACCCATTCTATGGGATGCTAAGAATAATCAATGTTCTAAAACTATCTGAATAATGCCTAAACAAATCCATAGCAAGGAAGGTTTAGTTGCATCCTCCCATGCAAAACTTAAAATAGGGTAACTACTGGTTCCTGCATTTAAAAATTCCAATTGAGTCATTCAAAATTCTCATATTTTCAGAGGTTATTAGCTAGGTATAATCAAGTACTTAAGCTACAACAGAGAACTGTCCCCATTGCTTTAAATGATAATATTGTTTTCAAAGTATCTTCCCTTAAAACTTAAAGGCAGACTAAATTCAAAACCAGACAAACAATGAGAGGGAGAGAGATTTCAACAACAAACTGACCAGGTGTATCTGACAAGCACATGCTTTGGCCAATGTTGAGGATCCCAGAATTGTTTACGAATATTTGGATGAATTTCAACATCTGTTGAAGACAACATAATTAGTTCCCATAAAACACACAGGAAAATAAATAAAACGAAAAGTTATAATGTGTTTGAACCACTGGATATGCTACTCTAAAATGATTGAATATAAAGAAATCTCTGAATACAGTTCACAAATGCATAACACAACAAAGCTGTGAATCAATTTCAAAGAGAAATAAATCTCACAACTCTCCTGATCCAAGAACAAATTTGACCACAATTTCTCTGGAAACATTGTATCTTTATTTGTTAGAAAACAAGTACCACACTGAAGCATATAGACCAGGTTACATACAATGATGAGGCATATCCACAATTTTAGCAGTGACACCATGCAAATCACCACCTGAGTACCTCTGAATGACATAAAGTTAAAAACCAAAAGAAGTAAATTTAAATCCAAAAGCAAAAGGGTAAAGACTACAAAAAAATATCTTACCAAATGCATGTCAATCATTGGAACTTCAGAACTCTTACGATTTATAAGAAGAAGCCATGGGACAAGAAACTTCTCCTTCCCAACTTGGAATGATCTAAACACAAGTTAAACATTTTAAAACATGAAATAGTAAAATAAACTCTTAATTTAATGAATTTATGAACTCTAAAACCAAGCAAAAGAGAATTGCTAAGACAAACAGTTAACATTAGACAGTGTATGGAGCATCCTAGGAGTGGAAAGCTAAGGATGATAATATAGGAGAAAATGGGTCCAGGAAGTTAAAGCCAATGTCTGAATCTCACTCGGTTTTGCAAAACGCTCAGTAGAAAAAACACTGAATGAAACGACATTTTTGGACTCGAAAACATTTCATTCTTAATTTTGAGAAGTTGAATTAATCGAATAAACGAAACCCTAACAGTTGCAACTAAAGCAAAAAAGAGAGATCAAATTAATAAAATCATAAATTTGAGCATACATTTTATAGGGATCAGCTCCCGTGTAACCAGTCGGCTTTGCTATAGGAATTAACACCTGCGAAAATAATTTACATATAAATGGAATTTTTCATAAAAAGAAACTAAAAAATGGAGGTGGAAAACGAAGAATAACGATACCTCGCGGTTAACAGCAAAGATCGAGCAATGTTTTCCGATCACGTCATGCCAAACAGTTCTAGACTGAAATCGACAAAATTCAAAGATGTCAGCTTCAAGAATAGCCAACATCTTTAATAGAAAAAAGGAAAACAAAAAATGTACTGACTGAATGGTATTGACCCATCTTGCTCATAGGAACTATGTCCCCAGGTCTGTAAGCAACGGAGATTGAAGGAAGCCAAAGTAACACCGAAATTATTAGAAGCAGCGTCGTCATTTTCCACTCCAACAGAATTCCAAATTACTCCAAACACTTTTTTTTTCTAATTTTGTTTCGATCGAATTGACCCAGGTAAGAGTGAGCCAAAAGTTTTGCTTTTATCACTTTGGTCCAATAATTAATCGTAAATTACTCTCATGACCACTTAACTATGAGTGGATTCTATTTTGACAACCAATCTTTTAATTTTATTAAAAAAAAAGTACGTAAACATGGTCTGAGGGACTTGAACAAGGGACTTTGAGGGGAGTGGAAAACATCCATCTCCCTCTCCTCTTCTCTCCTGGAAGCCTTTCACCTTGCATCTACTGACGAAACAATCTCCTCTTTTGACTTTAAGATCTTCATTTGTATCCTTCAAGACTTGTCTAATCATATCCTCACCGTTATAAATTTAACGGTGATTTGCTCGTGACATTTTTTATGATTAAATTACATCATTCATTGCTCAATTATCATCTCATTCTTATTTTAGTCATTAAAATTTATTTTTAAATTTAATTACTTAACTTTTAAATTACTCATAATTTAATCACTACAACTTTAAAATTTATTTTTTATTTTTAATTTTATATTAATAAAATGAAAAAATGTCATGTAAAAAACTATTAAAAAAAATAAATTAGAGTGGAATAGGAGCAATTTGAAAGTTGAGCGGTTAAATTGACAATTTTTAAACTTTAGTACCAAAATATGAGTGAGAATATAATTGATAGATAAATTGTGTAATTTACCCATAAAAATGCAGTGTAGTTAAATTTTTAATGATGAGGTACTGAAATGAAACAAAAATTAAATGTTAGGTATAATTTAAAAAAAATTAAAAATATAGATATTAAAATATACTAAAATTAATAATTTAAGTACTAAACACATAATTTATCTTATAAAATAATACGCAAATAGCTAATTCCATATCACCAAAAATAAACAAGAGACATAAAACACAGAGATGAGAAATGATTGATCCTCTATAAAGGCTAGATTCTATAGTTTTGTAATATTTTAAAAGGTATAATTAAAGGGTAAATCACAAAGATTAGTGTGCTCCTTAAAGTGAAGTGAGACATACGTATGTAAAAAGCATCAATAAAGTTTTATTTAAAATATAAGTTTTAAAAACATGGTCACTATCTTTCATCTGATGATTAAAATCGTATAAATTCCTCAAAACATTACACTCATATCTATGTTCGGTGAAGAATTACATTTTGTATATTGGATAAGTGTCTGCAACGAAGACTTAACATGTACACAAAGCAGAAAAGATTACTATAAGAACTTGTGTATCTAATATGAACTACGACTAAACACTTCCTCAGTTAACCATTTTCATAACAAAAAAAAAACAAGTACACATGTATTTATAATAAACCATGATCTAATTTAATTTTTATATGAAATCCTTTTAAAAAATCTAAGCCATGTACACACATCACTGAAGTGACAATAATTAAAAATCATGATTTTTTTAAAATGTAATGCAATCATACACTCATGATAGTCCAGATAAATAAAATTAAATAAAATAGAACAATAATATAACACTAGCATTAACACACATGCACTAAGTTGAGAGGTATAATAGAAAAGTCTACTAAATGATATGACTATCTAAACCAACAACGATATTGAACCAGATAATTTTTAAGTAATAAAATCATATAAATCTATTGCACGAGAGATGTTGGACTTAGTGGTACTCAATCAAAAGCAAAGCACGAGTGTTATCTTAAAATAAATTCTAAATCAATTATACACATGAAATCTATTAAATAAAAATAAAATATTAAAATTATAAATGCATGCTCAATTCATGACTTTCAAGTTAGAATTTGAAAACATAAATCACAAAAACAATAGTAATGTATAAGAAAGTCATGGTTAAGGTTATCTTCAGTTAAAGTCAACAGCTCAACTCAACTTAATCGGTTTGATTTGGTCTAATTCAAATTGGACCACTTTGATTTATGTTCTGATTTTGCACTTAGGAGCGATTCAAAAAATGAATTTAGCATGTTTGAGCATAATGACATTTCTACCTAAAAAGGGCTTTAAGAGTTATGGGCTTGGACCTGAGTTGGGTTCACTTAGAAACCGACTTACAAGGGTTCAATCCTCCTCAGTCAAGACTTGAGTTCGATTCACTGCGTTACTTCTATTCTCACTTTCCTTCAATACATTTTCTTTTCAATCAGGCAGTGATTATTTTATTAGAGATTATATTTATTAAATTGAATTAAAATTATGATTAAATTGATAAAATGTATAAATATTAAAAAAAATAAAATGAATTAAAAATTTTAAGTTGTCTAATTCATAAAATTGAAAGATTGATGATTAAGATAAAATCTACTCATAATTTGATGGTCATGAGTATAGATTAGCCTATAAAAATTGAATATTTGATATGGTAATTTTTTTGGATATGACAAATGTAATTAAAATCAAGATATTATTTTATAAAAAAAATCTTTTAATTTGATGTATTATTAACAAATTTAGGTAGTTAAAAGTAAAAATATTGATAATCATATTTATTTCAGAATGAACAAACAATAATTACGACACGGAGGAAAGATAAAAAAGGTAATTGGAAAAAGGAAATATTGAACATTAATCGACAAAATCTTTAATAAAAAAAAAAGAGGAAGAAGAAGAAAGAAAATAAATCTTTTAGATTCTACCTTTTACAACCATCAAAATTTCCCTCGGAAAGAATAGAATCCACAGTTTCACTGTCGTTTTATTGTAATTTCTCCTGCGTTTTGCTCCTTTCTCCCCTCTATTGAAGCCCTGATGCTCGTCCAAGATATCCAAAATTAAAAAGCAAATATCAAAGGGTTTTATATAAAGAAGGCGTTGAATTAGGGCGTCGGCGAATCGAAGCGCGTGACTGATCGGACGTTCTGTTGGGGCGTGAGGCGGGAAAATTGATTCCGGTTGGGAGGAGAGTGGGCTGTTTTGATGTTTTTGATGGGCGATCTCCGTGATTGGTCGCCTGAACGAAACGGCGTCGTCGAGGAAGAGAGGTCTTCATCGTCATCGTCTTCATCATCGAATCAAGCGGGGATTGCTCTTGAGTATTGGAAAAAGGCTGAGGAAGCGACGGAGGGGATCATAGCGCAGGTTCAACCAACTGTTGTTTCAGAAGACAGAAGAAAAGCGGTTATCGATTATGTTCAGCAATTACTTAAGAATTATCTTGGTTGCGAGGTCAGATAATCAAACATTAGTTAAACTTTTAATTATCATCATAATATGCTGTTGTCTTATTATGTTTAAGTGATAGAACATTAACATTGCCTAATTCGTGATTTAGTTGGAAATTAATGCTGTAGTTTTTTTATTTACTAGGATAATATTATTAAAATGGATTAGAATTTAAAGGAAACTCTTATGTAGTTTGTAGTAATAGGAACATGAATACCTTTTTAAGAGGAAGTGGGATTTTTACTTATTAATGAAATTAAATTGAAGAATGGTGGTGGCTGCTGTTTGTGCTCCTGCTTCAGGAACCTCATTGGTTGTAAGTGGTTTCCTTCGAATTGGAGCTCCTTTACTGTGGTAACAAACGCCCTTGGTAGATGAAAATTGTTTATAAGGCCTAATAGCTGTAGCAGATTACTTATCAACTAGGAGGGTGGCAGATAAGGCTATTAATAGAATGCTTTTGATTATTTGATATACTTTGGTCAAACTCATTCCATTTACATTAAATTACTTTATCAAGGTGATGTTTAAACTTAAACTTGTAGCAATTAATTGCAATTACGTTCGAGTGTAACAATCAGCTGGGAAAATTATTGTTTAATATTTGCAGTTTAAAGGAATATGGCTGTTGATGACAGAATATAAACATTTTATTTCAATAATATCTCTGGTGATATATGTCTCATTTCCCCCTATTTATCTATTTATTGCTCTGATCATGAATGTATGCATAATTAGTGAACAGTTTAGATAGATATTTATCATTTATCATGTATTTGTTACAGGTATTTCCATTTGGGTCAGTGCCCTTGAAGACCTATCTTCCTGATGGAGATATTGATTTGACGGCCTTCGGTGGCCTAAACTTTGAGGAGGCTCTGGCCAATGATGTATGTTCCGTCCTTGAAAGAGGAGACCATAACAAAGCTGCAGAGTTTGTGGTGAAGGATGTCCAATTGATTCGGGCTGAGGTTTTTTAACTTCCTAATATGTTTCTACAGATCTTTGCTTAGTGAAATTATCTCTTTTCTGCATGTGTAAGACACTAACCTGTTTATATTAGGTTTACTTAATCCCTTATTTTTTGTTCTTGACATTTACACCCTTTTTCATTTTGAATCTCCCAACCTTGATCATTTATTTTAGTGTCATTATTACATGGACACCTGAGCACAAATTTTTTTTTTGCATCCACATGTTTCTGTCATTTTGTTGAATTTTGTTTCTGGAAAATACGATGCCTAAATGATTTCTATGCTAAGATGGAGCATATATATAAGCTATCCCTATGAAGGATTTTCTCCAATTCAGTGTTATGTGCGTAAAGACTGCTATAATATGTTTCACTTTAGGCTTTGTCAATATTTGTCTGCTTCTTATTTGTAGTCTGGAGAAGTTCAGTTTACTATCAAATATAAATTGCAATTATATGATCAGAATTTGGAGAATGGTGACATAATTGTCTCTGTCATGCATCATTTTATTGTTAATTTTTTAGGGTAACGGTGAATACTGGGCATTGTTAATATCTCTAATGATGTGTAAGTTAAACTGTTACCAAATCTGAAGGTTGGATGTTTTGCAGAGACTTTTACCAAGCTTTAAACATCTAACTAAACAGATTATTGTGCATGAACAGATTATAGTGTTTATATGTAGAGTGATTGAAGTTATTCTCATTATACATATTATTGTGTGTCCATGGCCTTTTCAAAATTTGTGGGGTTTTTCTAGGAAAGGACTTTACCATATGTTTTCTTTATCATCCCAGATTCGATTGGTAGGCATAGTGGAAATGGTTGTATAGTCATTTTTTTTTTATTTTTACAATGTACATTTCATAAATCATTTGATACCATATGTTGTCGTTCATTTTAAAATTTGGCTTCTCTGGTGGCAGGTAAAGCTTGTGAAGTGTCTAGTGCAGAATATTGTGGTAGACATCTCTTTTAATCAGTTAGGGGGGCTATGTACCTTGTGCTTTCTTGAGCAGGTAGGTTAAATTATAGTAAGAATTTAGGAATGAAAGCCATCTACTATCAAGTTAATTGAGTTCATCTGCAAATAGAACCCAAAATAAAAATTGCTTCCCTCTCTTTCTCATTAATTAGATCATAATCAACTTCATCCCCTTCCTGCAATCATGTGCTAACATTTGTAGGTCTGTGTTAAAATTTAGATACGGATATAAGATTTCCGTTATGGGGGTGTATGCATCATATTGGTATTAAGCAGAATGTGTCCTTTTTCCCCTTTTCAAGCTAACATTCCTAGTAATGTTGCAGGTTGACCGTCTTATTGGAAAAGATCATCTATTTAAACGCAGTATTATACTAATAAAGGCTTGGTGCTACTATGAGAGTCGTATTCTTGGGGCTCATCATGGCTTGATTTCTACCTATGCTCTGGAGACTTTGGTGCTGTACATTTTCCATCTTTTCCACTCATCACTAGATGGTCCTTTAGCGGTGAGTGCTGCAGGAATTTTGGCAGTGTAAACTAATTGATCACATCAATGTAACTGATTGAATATGTTACAGGTTTTATATAAATTTTTGGATTACTTTAGCAAATTTGATTGGGAAAGCTACTGCATCAGTTTGAATGGCCCAATCCATATATCATCCCTGCCAGATTTTGTGGGTGAGCGACTTCATTTTGCTTTCATTCCCGATTGTATTCTACTTGATACATGATTAAGTTTCTTATGTCATTGGTCCTTTCTCTTCTTCCCTTTTTTTCCCTTCAGTTGAGACACCTGAAAATGGTGGGGGAGATTTTCTTCTCAGTGATGATTTTCTGAAGCAATGTGTGGAAATGTTCTCAGTTCCACCAAGAGCATTCGAGACTAATTCACGTACATTTCCACAAAAGCATCTAAATATAGTAGATCCTTTAAGAGAAAATAACAATCTTGGTCGTAGTGTGAGCAAAGGTAGAATCACTTGACAAATTCCTGCATTCTTTTCATTTGAAACTCAAATTTTTTGTCTTGAGGATGGCAGAAATATTTGTAAGCTAATGTGACAAAGGGACATTCATGTTATCCTCTTTTAATGGTTCTTTGGTGATTCTTGAACAAACTGAGGGATAAAAGGTCATTTATAATTTACCTTTTTCTCTGTAGGAAACTTTTTTCGTATAAGAAGTGCTTTCACTTACGGGGCTCGGAAGCTAGGGCGCATTCTTTCCCAGGCAGAAGAAAGCATAGCAGAAGAACTTTGTAAGTTTTTCTCAAACACTCTGGATAGGCATGGAAGCGGACAGAGGCCTGATGTTCAAGATCCCGCCCCGTTGTCCAGATTCTGTGGATTTGGTGCTACATCATCATTTTCAGGTGCAGACTCAGTTCAAGATCAAACCTTTTATGAATCAGAATCTTCAAATTCTACAAATGCTACAAGTGTTTCAGGAATCCATCCGTCATTAGACACTGAAGACCTGGCAACTTCCAAAATTCGAGGTCTTGTGATTTCAAATGATGCAAAGAAACCTTGCACTCCAAGTGCAGAGGGCAATATTTCTTCATCTGATAATGTATGGCATGCACCTCATCTCTATTTTTCTAGCTCATCTCTGGATAATGGAGATATAAAAAATGGAAATGAAGAAAGCAAACAGCCAGAAAGTTCTGGCTTTGCTGAAAAGAGCATAACTTCCAGTATTCTTCCAGCAACTTGGGAGTTGGGAACTAATGTACATGGTGATCTGATTGAGAAGCAGTTGGTTAATAGTCAAGGGGTTCAGTCCCCTGTTGGATTAAAGCACCATTCATTGATTTCAAATTCTGCTTGGTCATCTGAGAATCTATATCCTGCATATTCTGGTTATCCAACTTCCATTAGTGCTGCTGGAATTCAGGAAGCTTTGAGCTCATTGTCAGATCTCTGTGGGGATTATGATTCTCACTTTCAGAGTTTGAATTATGGTCGATGGTTCTATGGCTATGCCTTAAGTGCATCTGTTCCTCCAATTTCCTCATCTTTGGTTTCCCAGTTCCAGGGAAAAAATTCATGGGAGGTAATACGAAAGTTCGTGCAGTGGCAAAATGCAATTTCCCCGATGAACGCTAATGGTGTTGTTGCAGGGCAAGCCTACTACCCCATGAACCCTCCAATGCTACATGGTGCAAGCTTTGGAATGGACGAAATGCCAAAGCCTCGAGGAACAGGGACATACTTTCCTAATCCCAACACGGTATATACTCAATTGCTGGTATAATTTTTTTTGGCCAAGGGGGGGAAGGTGGTTAAATTTCTTCGTCAGGCCTCATCTTAGGGTGTTTTATATTAATATTTTTTTTGTTGCAGAACCATTACTGGGATAGATCCTTGACATCAAGTGGAAGAAGCCCTGCACCAGCAAGGTCTCCTCGTAACAATGGCCATTCCATTACATCCTTAGAAACAAGTTCACCAGAGAGAAGCAGTCATGAACTAGCACAGGTGCTGTCAGTAAATCAAGGTGGTAAAAAATTTGGGTCCTCGGAGCTTCGCCATTCTAGTTCTAAAAGAGTGTTATCCCGTAGTGCTAGTGGCCCAATACATCAGCCAGACAGGGTTGTAGAATTTGGGTCAATTGGGCCCCTACCGTTGGGTTCAACCTCTCCAGAAGGCAGCAAACAACTAAATCCAGGTTCTCCTCATGCTCAAAATTCAAGTGCAAGTCATCCACAAATAGGAATGCCGAGGCCAAAATCAGCTATGAGCATCAATCAGAACAGGTTTGAGAATAGAGTTTCATATTAAACCAAATGTTGCAGGGTATAAATATATCTGATTTTTTTCTCTTGTAACATGCAGGGTACTTGCACAATCATTCCATCTAAAGAATGAAGAAGATTTCCCACCTTTATCCATCTGACTGCGGACTAGTTAAAACTAACAAAGGACAGGCAGGCAGGCAGCCTGAGGTCCAGCACTCAGCTTGTGTGAGTACTTGGTTACTTTGAAAGCCATTTCCAAAGCTCTTTTGTGTATGGAGTTTGATTATCATTAGTAATATTTTTGTGTGGTTGGAAAGGTGGCATTTTGTACATTCTCACTAATTTTATATCCGTTTTAATCATCCTCGTAGTTGTAGCCCATGTACTTTATATAGTGAGCTGTTATTGTATAGGATTTGTGGAATTATGCCATTGTTTAATTTCTTGTCCCAGGTTTTGCAATATCTGATCCTGCTACTATAGACATAGATTAGATACTGTTATTGCCGATGTAATAAATAGTTATACTGCAAAATAGTAGTCCTTCTGAAGCGATTAATTTCTCTTTCTTTTTATGGGTATTGATATGGAACGTTAAATTACTGAAGATGTTCATTTTGAGCCACTAAGATTGAAAAATTCATGAAAAAAAATAAAAATTTTCCTGATTTACTCGGCTTCACACTTAATAAGAGTTATCCTCAAAAATTTATCCCTGTGAAATTACGAAGACCAAATACCACAATATATCAATGGGATTTTTAATCATTAAATTAAATTCTAACTCGTTGCTTTTTAATATCATTTCATATTTTTTTTATTTTTTATTTTATGCTCGTATTAACTATATTTCAAATTATTCGGATGAAAAATATATATTACTGTTGATGTATTTGAAGTAAACGTGACAGGGCAAAAAACAAGGTTCCAATCAATTTCATATACAGCATATATTAATGAGAAATTCAACAAAAATATTATTACAGCCTTAGAGGATACCTAATAGGCACACGCTTGGTCAACCCCTCCACAGTACACTTGTACAGCTATGGGACGTTATTATTATTATTACTAAAATGATTTAAAAATAAAAATGAAAAGGTTGTAATTTTGTCAACTTTTCGCTTGGTCAACCCCTCTTCAAAACTCTAAATTTGTTTCTAGACCGACTCTAACATCTATACTTATAAAAATTGTCTCTATTGAGTTGAGAACTGGATGTGATTGTTTAAAGGTCTATACGAGTGTGAGATGTAAAATTTTTATTATGCAGATTAATGTCATTGTAAAGAGAACAAAACTTAATTAAATTTATTTTTTTTATTTGACCCGATTGAATGTTTATCTATACCCGTAAGTTGGTAATGCAAGTAAAATAATATCATCAGTAACCAAAATTGGAGAATATAAAAAAAATGTGTTGCCTTAGAGAACAAAAATAATAAAAAAGAAAGTGGAAGAAACTTTACACAGACTGCATTAATCTCTATAATAATAAATTTACATCGTATGTTTGTCTTCTAAACAATCACTTCCAAAATTTAATCTCAATCGTAAAGACAAATTTTATATAAAGTGAAGAATTCAAAAATACTTTTAAGTATATATATATATATAGATTTTGAACGGGATAGGCATATATAAGTTAATATCATAAATTTTTTTAAGGGGATGGACATCGTGATTAAAATAAGTAATTAACTCTAAACTCATACCCTAAACTTCAAATAATAAACCACAAACCCTAAACCTAAAGTTTAGAACTTAAACTTTGAATCTTAACTCTAAAAAGAAACAAATATTATTTTAGTGTGAGTTAAAGAAATATTTATTTATGAGATATAAAATTTAATTAAATCAACATTATTTACTTATTCAAATCTAATGGCTATAAATTAGTGTAAAACTTATTAATTTTACATAGTGTAAATTATATATATAAGGTTATGATCCACTTATACTGTATAAATCTTTTTTTAGTTTGACACATTTTTAGGATCGTTGGATTGAGGGAAATCAAAGGTTGAGATTAACTCATTGTTTTTTCAGTTAATATCTTCTCATTTCCAACTATTAATCTCAGCATTTAATTTCTCTTATCTAATAGTCCTAAAAAGGGGTAAAATTAAAAGAGTTTTACACAATATAATTGGATCATGCCCCATGTATATATAGACATAAGATTTTATAGTAGAGAGGAGTGAATAAAATTTTAAGAGACAAATTTATAAACTTTAGGATGATATAAATAAATTATCGGTATAAAAATATAAAGAATTATATAAATTACATGAGAATTTAAAATTTTTAGATAACAATCTCTGCCAATTATCTCTATCCATCCGTTTGTATAATTGAGTCTAAGCTTTAAAGAAACCCATATTCTTTTTAATAATTGAGTCTAAAATTCTTTTATAAAGGAAAAAAAACTAAAATTAAATAAATATTAAGATGAAAAAAAATATTAGAATAAAATGCATATAAAATATTGTATAATCTAAAGTGATTATTATAATTAAACTTTTATAACGGTTTTAAGAAAATAAATAAAATGCATGATAATTTCATGATCTCATCATATTTTCAAGGCGACTTCTCATATTGTTTGCATGCATGTTATCTGGCAGCTACGCAATATCGAACACAAAAGTGGTAAAAAAATCGCCATACACACATGACAAAATCATAAATCAGTGTACAATCAACATATTTTTAAAAAAACCGTCGTAAAATTCTAACGAGATGCTCAAATTACTATAGCAATTAAAATAATATTTAGAACATTTTATTCAAATATTTTTTTCGTCATAATATTCCAGCAATTTGAAGAAAAAAAAGTTAGAACATGAACAGTTCCATCACCCATGGCAAAATAAAAATAAGTAAAAACTAGAGTTTGTCAAATTGCGTCAGTTGAGACTTGTTAATTGAAGGAAGAGGGGACCTCGACGCATCGCACCAAAATATAAACTCTAACCGGTCAGCTTCTCTCATCTTCTTTTTTGTATACTTTGAGTTTCACAACCAAGCCTTGTTGAGATTCAAGGTTTTAATGGAGATTTACAGAAAATGTATATTATATTTTCAATGTACCAGCCAGTGTTATATACACATTTGTACCGCTGAGCTGGCTGCAACTTCACATCAGTTTTAACAACCTTAACCAAATTTTAACAACATCCTAACAGCTTACTAACAACCACTAACCAACTCACGCATACATTCATACATTCATACCAACTCACGCATGTTGAAATGTCAAAGCTTGGAAAATTGGTTCAAGTTAGGCACCTAATATTGCAATGTCAAAATTAGGTGCAACAATGTCAAAATTAGGTGCAATAATGTTTGAAAATTAAATGGGTAAATTATAAACTTTAGTCACTAAACTTTAGGGTATTTATAAGATTAGTCCTTAAGTTTCAACTATAAATACCCTAGCTCATTTAGCTTCAAAACCATCCCAAAGCATTCTAGCTTTCTTCCAATACTAGAGAGAATTTAGAGAGTTTCTTGAGAGTTGTTTTCTCCTTTTTTATCAAGAGAGAATTATCATTGTTTTCTCCTTGGTAGATCGAGAGAGGTTGTAACTCCTATTTTCTCATAGTGAAATTCTTCTACCGTTGCTCGTGGTTTTTACCCTATATTATTCAGGGGTTTTCCACGTAAATTTTGTGTCTCTTTTATCTTCATTTTTATTTTCTCAAATTATCAGTTGCGATTTTGCTCTATCCGATAGCCGTCTTCCGCAACAATTGGTATCCGAGCTAGATTAGAGTGTGTAATATCAGCTTATTGTCTTTGTGGTTGCCACCAAAAGATGGATCCTCCAACATAAGAAAATAAGAAGTTATTACCCATTCTTTGAAGGTTCCAGAGAATTATTCACGATAGTGAAATAGTGGGAGCTATCCGTAAACGAAGCAATGGCAACGAAATTTGATATTAAAAAGTTCAATGGGAGAAATTTCTCATTGTGGAAATTGAAGATGAAGGCTATCCTAAGGAAAGACGGATGTCTAGCGGCTATCAATGAAAGGCCGGTGGATTTCGCAGATGACATCAAATGGAACGAGATGGACGGGAATGTTATGTCAAACTTTCATCTAGCATTAGCAGATGAAGTATTGTCAAGCATCGAGGAGAAGAAGACAGCTAAGGAGATATGGGATCATCTCATCAAATTGTACGAGGCCACATCGCTGCACAATAAAATTTTCCTTAAGAGGAAATTGTACACTCTCCGTATGCCAGAATCTACTTCAGTGACGGAGTACTTAAATACACTGAACACCTTATTTTCTCAGCTTACATCCTTAAGCTGTATAATAGGAGAACAAGAACGTGCTGAACTTCTACTTCAAAGTCTACCGGATTCTTACGATCAACTCATCATCAACTTGACAAACAGTAATGTCACCAGTCTAGTCTTCGATGACGTTGCAGTTGCTGTTCTACAAGAAGAAAATCGGCGCAAGAATAAGGAAGACAGACAAGTAAATCTGCAACAAGCAGAAGCGTTGACAACAACGAGAGGGAGATCAACAGAACGTGGCCAAAACAGCAGTCATAAACATGGTAGATCGAAGTCGAGGAGCAAGAAGAATTTAAAGTGCTACAATTGTGGAAAGAAGGGTCACTTGAAGAAGGATTGTTGGAGTCTAAATAAAAACTCCAATCCACAAGGCAATACCGCAAACACTTCAGATGATGGAGATGCTCTATGCTGTGAAGCGTCAACCACCGTGGAAGGCAGAAAAAGATTTGCAGATATATGGCTCATTGATTCGGGAGCGACATATCACATGACCTCAAGAAGAGAATGGTTCCATCATTATGAACCTGTCTCAGGAGGATCTGTGTATAGTTGTAATGATCATGCCTTAGAGATCGTTGGTGTGGGAACCATCAAATTGAAGATGTATGATGGAACAATTAAAGTTGTTCGAGATGTGCGGTACGTGAAAGGTCTGAAGAAAAATTTATTATCCTACGGATTGTTGGATAATAATGCTAGCAAGATTGAAACACAGAAAGGAATCATGAAGGTGTTCCGTGGAGCGCTTGTGGTGCTGAAAGGTGAAAAGATAGCTGCAAACTTGTACATGCTGAAGGGAGAGACATTGCTAGAAGCAGAAGCCTCTGTTGCCTCATGTAGTTCAGATTCTGCAATGCTATGGCATAAGAAACTTGGACACATGTCAGAACAAGGAATGAAAGTCCTTGTGGAGCAAAAGCTACTTCCAGGCTTAACAAAGGTATCACTTCCTTTGTGTGAGCATTGCATAACAAGTAAGCAGCACCGGTTGAAATTCAACACATCAAATTCTAGAGGCAAAAGTGTTCTAGAATTGGTTCACTCTGACGTATGGCAAGCACCAGTAACGTCCCTAGGTGGAGCAAAATACTTTGTCTCATTTATTGATGACTACTCCAGGAGA